TGTTAAGAAATATTTTTTATCCAAAATGAAGCTGAAGGAATTGGAATATTGATTAAAAGCACCGAGTTATTTATATCTGAGCATCTCAGAAGTATACTATGTTTAGTCACATTTTGTCCAAACTTTAGTCGTTATTATTATCACAAAACTCTATGCTCCAATTTTTGCAATGATAAATGTTTTCAATGAAAATAGAAATATGACGGTATAAAGTTAAGTCACAAAATGATGACACATTCCAGGTAAACAGTATTAAGTCACATTAAAATCGTATTCCCTAATCACACATTTCAACTTATAACTTATTTTTTATAAACGCGCGTAGAATAAATAGAATCGCGATAGAATCCAGCTCGGAGTGCTTGTTAATTAAAATAAAATGATATTAAATATTACTCGGCGATAATTTTTCAATGTACGATAATAATAATCGACTGGTATAATACACAATACACCGCGAAGTAATGATGAGAGAGAATCGAGTATATTTCTAGTAGAGTAGATCTACTAGCAGTAGTCTAATCTCCAGTAACAGTATGAAGCAAACGCTAATAGTGAAGCCAGAGAGAATAATAGTGCAATAACGAAGAGAAGTTTGTGTATATTCGGCAGCAATCATGGAATGCATCAACTGCGTCGATAATAAACGTTACCGCCTACGGGGCTCGAATTTCTCTCCGAAATTCACAGAGACAATTTGCAGCGGTGCGCAGGAAGCGGAAAATGTGTCAGATTTCGAATAATTAATTAAATACCGGTTTAATTATAATTTTATTGTACAGTATGTTTGTACGCGAACGCGCGTAAATGCCGGGCGCGGAAAGGTGAAGCTTTCCATTACCAAACATTTATATGACATCAATCTCTCATTGAGCATTACGTTGTATTATGTGAAATAAATTGTCAAAAAAGAATTAATTGAACAAGCTAAAAACTTTCGGAGAATCCATTCGCTCACGATTATTTCGAAAATTTTTGGAGAGAAATTTCGACGATAAAATTCATTGAGAGACTGTTCTCCACTCAAACGCTACAACTTTCTGCAAATTCGTCTGTAAGAATCGAAAAATCGTAGAGTCGCGCGATTACAAGATTTACTTTGGAATTATCTCTCTCAGCTTGCGCGCTTTCTCACGATCACGATGAATGGATCATCGATCTATTCATTTATTGGCGCAATCTCTGCAAATGCCAATAGGCAAACGCATCGCGACTTCATATCCGCTCGTGATCGAACTGTTTTCGGTCGGACGCATGCATCTCCGGAGCCGGAAACGCGACCGGGCAAAAATTCGAATATCAAAATTGAAATATTTCCCGTTTTATCGGAAAACGGATAAAAACATGCACGGCCCGGTGGTGTTGTTGCTGCTGCTGCTGCTGCTGCTTTTCGTATTACGCGTTGTAAATAGCGTGTGCCGTTACTGTTCAGAGAAACGCGCACAGTTGCAGCTGTGCGGTGAGGAAGAGAGGAATGCATACACAGTTGTGCGCGAGCTATTACGAGCGGTCTTGCGGCCTGTAATGGACGCTGCGGACGTATGGACGTAATGGATGGATGAAACCGTAATCCATATATTCTAAACATTATCATTGTTATCACTTTTCCCCTTTCCCGATCCTTGGCTGCGTTCGCGCTGAATACGCGCGAACGCGGACGATCCATCTACTTTTAATTTACTCAGTTTACAATCTCCGACAGCGTAACACATCGATGATAATGTGAGATCTCTATTTTAATGTAAAGTAAATTAATATGCATGATACTTGACTCGTGTAACATTTACGCTACGCATGAATTTTGCAAAAGTTAAATATTTTCTTGCTGATCGAAAATATTGAATTAAATATTCGAATACATTATAGCATTATCTTTAATATTATTCAGAAATATTATATTACATAGCATTATCAATATTATTCTTGGATAATGATGTGCGTTTGCACATTATAACAGGAAATTAAAGAAAAAAATTTCTTTGCTTGGCGGATTCATCGATATGCCTGTGTAATTACCATTGAGCGGCCCGAGAGCTTTGAATCTCAGCGCAATTACCGTAAATATGATCCTCATTGTTCGCAAGCGCGACGTAAATGTAACGATAATGAGGATCTACTTGCGGGGAAGCGCTGATTTTTATCGTTATTGGTGTCGTTTTAATGTAGCCTGTAATGATTATATTCGTCGTATATTTTCAGGAAAATTACCCTTTGCTAATGCACTTTCCTTTCGCGCGTTTGAAACGATCCTTAAAGGCTGTAAGGAGATTTTGTTCCTCTTTTATCGAAATAAACTAAAATTAATATTTAACATACGTGGATGAGAGATGAAAATAGAGCAAATGTGCAAAATATAAAAAATTAATTTTTCCGGATCCTGAAACTGTGAATTGATGAAAAAAAATTCATTGAGATGATTTTTTAATATTATACAATATTATTTGAATTTTAATTATTAAACTTTTTAACTTTTATTATTAAAATTACAAAAATCCGACCATTAATAATTTTTTATAAAACTTTTTAAAAAAAAAAATTATTTTATATAATATTCGGTAAACATTGTCATAAAAAAATTTTTTATAGTCGGTAATAGTCGTTTTACTTTGTATATTCATTTACATATATACATACATCGTGTGTGTATGCGTGCATGTATATGCATAGGAAATATTTCACTGATCCAGTTTGATTATCGGTTAAAAAATTCCGTTTTGTTTGTTCGATGAGCATGCATCGTCGGCATGTGCCCTCACAGAGAACGCTGCTGTTGAGTTGTTTAAAAAAAAAAACATAGTCTACGGTTTAAGTTCTGTCATGCTGGTGACACGCGAAAAGTCTTTGTCCAAGTTGATGTGTGTCCATCGCGAATGCGGCACGGTTGCGTACGTCTTTTCTCTCTGGAGTTCACTAATTATAAAATCGTCCTGTGAAGCCCGCGGCGCGTGTTTTTCTTTCGAGCCGCTCGCGCGTTGTGTGTGCCTTTTAAGCGTGGAATTTCATTCATTATTACAGCAATTTTTTCCATTTGCTATCTTGGTCGAGGAATGTGCGCACAATAATACGAAGATCACAAAAAAATTAATTCCTCAAAGATCACATTTATATATATAAGCGTAGTCCAAGAATACACCGTATTTGTCTCGCTCCCGTTGTTTCGACACTCGCGCGCTCATTAGTGAGTTTTAAAAATCAGTTTGCGCTCGCAAATTGCTTCTCTTGCGCAATTTTCCTTTCGTCAAATGAATTAATTTGAAAATTCGCAACTTTTTTTGACACAAAAATTGTGACGTAAAGAATCAAAGAAAGCGTTATCAGCTTGCGTCGGTTGCATGAAACCGACGTTCGTAGATTTGTGCAGCAATTTAAGAATTTATGCAAAGGTCGCGAGGATCAAAAAGGTTTACGTATTAAGGACACGTTGAAAGGAGTGTGCGCGTTCCAGGCTCAAAGGAAGTGACGGACCGTGATTTCAAAGCACAGAACGAAAGGGTGGCTTATGAGAAGCGCATCCTTACGCGCTTTACATCCCGTCGCGGCGTTCTACGATATTGCGAATTTTTTCCCTTCTCATAATGTTTGTTGGTTTTTTTTCATTTTTAATTTCACGGATTTATCGTCGTGTTAACGGCGAAATATGAACTCCTCATTCGATACGCCAGCGGCCCACAGGCCGCGTGCAATATTGAATATTTGGGAGCTAAAACGCGTGACAGCGGCTCGCATTAGCGCGTTTTCCCTCACGTTTTTCCCACTCGCATCGGAAATTTTTCATTTCTCCTCGTGGCCACGCTTTTACGAGCTTTTACGTATTTACTCAGCGGATGCGCCCTTTCGGCGATCTCGAGCGTGAAAATAATTCGAACCGATTAAAACCGATGTCATTTAAACTCGATGAGCTTAATTAATACAAAACCGAAATAGCGATTAAATGTATATTTAATAAGGAATTAGGAATTAATGCACAATCGGTCCACCGAGTAGCCATTAAAAAATCATTAATCCCGTAGTATTCGCATTGTTTAGACCAGATCGCACACAGTTGAGCGTTGCGAATGTGCACCGGTTACCGGGCCAAATATTTGCATTCGCGACATTAATGTGATCATCGGCATTGTCGGCCAAATATATGACAATGACGGCGGTTTGACGTGCGCCATGCGCGATTATTAGCCCCGCGGCTCCACGCTGGATACGCCTGTAAATATTGCGTGATATTGCTCCCGTTGCTGCCCAACCTACTCCCGCCGCCGCTTGTTCCCGCCAAAGAGGCTTTCGAAAATTCATACAGCCGTTACCTCGAGCCTTTGAATATCGCCTGGTATTTATGCGGAACGTTGTTCCGCAACCATATCTGTTTGTCGCGGATCAATTTTTCAGCAACTCGTCTCGTAATTACGCGAGCTGTGTTCTACCAGGGATCAGCGATTTCGATAGTTGTTTTTTACCGGCCGTAATTGCTGCGTCTGATAATCCGCGGGATGTTTTGCAACCCACTGTCCCGAAATAAATCGCTTTGTCATAATATTCGCGCCAATTATTTTGCAATTTCGCCGCGGAATAGACGTCGGTTGCTCCGTGTTTGTTATGTCGATTGCTTTTGTTCCGCGTGAGCTCGTGCAGCGATATGGTTATGACAATTGTGTAGCTTCAGATATTAATTACGAGACTCTATTAAAGTAATTTTCGCAAAACGTTCGACACAATGCGCGCGTGTCACTGCGAATTTCGGTATATCATTATAAAGGATACGTCATAATTACAATTGCCGATTTGAATTTCTAACGATGCACATCGCGAACAAAGCTCACCCGAAGCCTGACTCCGGCGAGCCGAGCGTCGAGAGAGACGGATCGTTGCAGATTTATTTACAATTCTGTTGCCAAACATATTTGCTTCGACGTAATAATGAAACCGCATGAAATTGTTTAACGATATAAACTTCTGTGGATTAAAATCGATCAGTTTTTTCACCCAAGGTCTGCTTTTGTGTGTTACAGATTTTCACGCGCTTCGGCAAAGTTCTGAAGATCGTCACCTTCACAAAGAACAGTAAGTACAGCGCTCAATGCATCGTCGTTGTATTACGTCTTATTGTTAGAATCGATGCGCCAAAGGGAGAACTGGCGGGAGAAGAGGGAGCCGTGGCACTTTCGCGAGTTGTAGATCCCACTCTCGCCGGCAGACACGCCACGGCACTTTAGTACTTCAGCGTACTTGAAGTGCATCCTGGCCTACCGCCGTCGTCGCGCGCACTTGGCGCCGGTACTTTCGGAATCGCGCAGAGTGCCCTAAAGGGTGTCCGCGAAATGTCCGTTCGCGAAGCGAAACATCTTTCCTGGGCGAATACGTGTCTCGCGCGCGAAAATTCGATAACGCTCCTCCGTTAAAATTACTGTGCCCGGTAATTTATAAATAACGGCCAACACTTCGCGGCACGACGCGACGAATCGGAAATGAACTTGAAGTTACAGCGGGCCGATACGTTAAAAATTCAATGCGATTATTTTAATTCTCGAATGCACCCGCTCTATCGCTCCTGTCCGTCAAAACTATTAACGGAGAATTGCATAATGCCCGCAATTTCTCATTGCACCCGTTATACAAAAGGTACAAAGAGAAAGCGTCGGGGTGTGCAGCCGGCGAGCATGTTACGAATTCATGCCTACAGTAGATGAGCGCGGCAGCATCATCATTTCCGCGTGCGTATGTGTGTGTCTGCGCGCGCGACTGTGCACAGGTGCATCGGGGTGTGCGGTAAGTGATGCGCGAGTCGTAATGTCGAAGCTCCGCGTGGTTGCACATACACACACACAACACACGCGCGCGCGCGCGCGTGCTCGGTCCGGTCAGAGCATTCAACATCCGCAGGGATTTCCGGCTGCAAGTTTTGGCTGCAGACAGTTACGAGGTCTCGTTGCTGCGCGAGATGACAGAAAATCTTGGCGAAACCGCACGTTTGGACTGCGAGAAATTCGCTTGTAATACAGTTCTCTCTCTCTCGATGTACTATCTATTCTGGTTTAGATAGCTTAAGATAATTTCGCGCGACACGTTATATCGATTGTTTTTCCTCGCGCGGAAATATTATAGTTCACGAAGCTGGAAATTTCGCATGATATTTCAATTGTTTTATAAATAACGTATAAAGCGGATTATATTGATGTTGTAAATAGCGCAAGAGCGAATCGTCGGTGCTTTTAAATGCTACAAAAGCAAATTACCGCCGCTTTGCCATATTATTCCGGGGTTACGGTAAAGCTACGTGTTTTTCAAGCAAGAGAGCTCGTAATATAAAACTTTTCAATGAAAATTTCCGCGGTTCGGTCACTGAGGCACGGGGTTACATTTACGAGCGGAGTAAACGTTATCATTGCGATTACTGTTACTGCGGTCGGAGAGAATCTCGCGTGGAATCAAAAGCGCGCGCGACGCATTGTATTTATTTTTTTCCGACGTTCGAAACGCGGGCTTTCGCCAAGAGAGCTCTCCTTTCCGCTTCCGCATTTCAGATTCGAAAATTAAATAACATTGCCGCAGGCCAATCCTTTGTTTCGCATCATACGCGCTCCCATGTAATAAAATATCGCCGCGCTGTAGCACGCGAGTGGGAGTTACGCGAATTTGACGTACGTATGCGAAATTAAAACATGCGAAATTGCCGCCGCGCTCGCCTTGTGCGATGTTTCGTTTAATCGAGATTTAATGTCAATTATAAACCCGACCGCCGCACAACGGACAGCGAGCGACGGTGGAACTCTGAAATATTAACTTCGCAAAACGTTCCCCGCTCGTGGCGGTTTTACGTTTGTCTTCTTCGTAATTGTTTATCTTCGCGTATCGCAACTGGCGAAAGTGAAGCGCACTAGTAAGCAGCGGTAACAACACATTCATCTACATCACTGTCATTCGTTGGTTTATTCGATTAAATTAACTGGCGAATTCAATCGAGCATTTCTTTTAATTCACATAAAAGCTGAATTAATCCCATACGAATTGTTCCAGCGTTGGAAATAAAAAGGCTCCTGTCAGTAAAATTGCGGTTATCGCGTACACCCACGGGCTTTAACGTTCGCAATTCATTACCTACCAAAAAATCGCCATATTTGCTCTCGGTGCGTTGATTAATTCGTCTCACTACATTTTCAATCTACTTTGAATAGTATTTCGCAACCACTATTCATCTATAAACCATACTGAATCTGATTAAAATGATTTCAGAATATGTTTAGATATTTTATTTTAATATCGTGTAATTATATGATATTTGAACGGTGAATTTAATCGAACATTTCCCTTAATTCGCATAAAAGCGGGATTAATCCCATACGGAATTGTTCTGGCTTTTGGAAATAAAAGGTTCCTGTCAGCGAAATTGCGGTCATCGTGTACACGCACGGGCTTTAATGTATTAAAGAGTTCCATTATCACGGTGGAGCAAATTCGAAAATGAAATAGCGTAGCCGCCGGCTGAAACTTTGGTCAACGCTGCTAACGAAATAATTCCGGCTTCCCGGACGCACAGGAAAAACGTATTATCATGACAGAGTTAGTTTCTCGCAACGTTCGCGCACTAAATTAACAAATCACCACTTTTTACCCGGCGCTGGTCGGTATTTTAAATACGCGATTTAACGCAAAAAAATAGCGTTTTTTCTATTCAGAATTAAATTTTCAGAAGACTTTTACATTTTGAACAACGTTTCCAATATGTAGTATTTTTTATTTTGTGTACTCAATACATTCTATGGAATATTTTATCATTTTTATTTTGTATATTTCTAAACTCTAAATTTTAAATACTTGTACCTTTTTTTGCAATCGTTTCTGTAACAAAGTTTGACCAATTTCTGATTTGAAAACTTTGAAATAGAGAAGAAAAGGGCAAAACACTACTGAGGTATAAAGTTTTGCCATTACGAAGAAAAGACTCCAACTATATTTGCTTCTCTAAACTCGCGTTTTATGCGAAACAGCGGCTTTATGGAAATAATCCACTCTTGTTTGACTCAAACACGTTATTAAGTATATACAAACCTTTCGTCTTATTGTAACTCTCGCGTAAGTGTAACGCAAATTACAATATCGTGTGACAATACTATTAGAAATGAAAGAATATATAACGTCGCTACTGTTTACTGACCTATTTCGCCACTCGATGACTTTTACATGCTAACGTTAATATTCACAATGAATTTATTAGCCACCGTGGGTTATTCCTTTGCCGTCTCGAGTGCAACCCGCGCGTAAAATTCATTCCGGACGACGTCGTTTCACGCTTTTTATCGCTTCTGTGTTTCAGGCTCCTTCCAGGCACTAATACAGTACGCGGACATGCTGTCGGCGCAGACCGCTAAATTCGTAAGTATCCACTTGACTTTGTTTCCTCTCTCGTCACCGCCCGTCTCGACCCTCCTTGTACTTCCTCCTTTCGCCATCAGTGCATCCGTTGTTTTCCTCCTTTTTCTCAATTTTTTCTTTCTTCCTCTTTTTTTCTTTTTTTTTTTTTTTAGTTACTTTTTTCTTCAGGCTCCGCTGTATCGTGCTTATCCGCCGCGCTCCCGCGGGACAGATCGAAATTTTCTGCGGAATATCTCGCGTCGCGCGGGGAAAATATTTTCCGATCCATACCGCGCCGAAGGAAGCCGCAGCGCGGCGGTTAATTGCCGGAAGCTGAGCTCGATGAATGTAATCGAAAGATTGATGGCGGATGAAAAAGTGCGGCGCGGAGAGAGCGGCGAGGAAATCGCGCTCGGTTCTCCCGATATATATCTGACGGTATTTTTCCCGATTTATGGAAATATCCGCTGCTTTACAAACCAAATTAATTCTTAAGGCAGGCGCGGACCGCAGATGCGCAGATGATCGCCGCTCTCGCTCTGTTTCTTGCACTTTACGCGAATATCGGTAATATAAACTTTGCTCGCGGCATTACGCGTTGTACCTCCTATCACGCTTCGCCTATTATTTCCGCGACCGTTTAATGCGCAGAAATTAAAGCGTCACATTCTGATAATAACTATTCCCACTTTCCTTTTCTTTTTTTTTTTAAGGAGGTTGAGAAAGCCGTAGCATTAAACTTGCCGCTGCTTAAGGTACCACGAATTGTGTCTGTGCCGTAAATTTTGTTTCACCTGTAATTCCTGTAATCGTTTCGTTCCTGTAATTACGAATTTAAATACGTGTCCTGATAATTACTCCACTTTCCTCTCTCTTTAAAAAAGTTGAAAAAGACTTGCGACTTAAAGTTAACACTGAAAAATGTGTCAAACTTGCAATTACTGTCTTAAACTTTCCTCCATTATACGAATAACATAACTAATTTCCCCGCTAAATCTGTTTATACCAATTTTCTAATAACGCACGCTGCATAAAGTAGCCTAAATGTTAACTAATTTTACTTTAAATAATTTAAAGAATGAAGACAGTTTTGCAAACTTTTAAAGCAAGCTTGGATTAGCTTCTTCAAACTTCTGACTATAATTATACATATTAACTTTGGCTTTGATTCTATTGATTACACATTTGTAACTTGTACAAATTATTATGAGTTTTTAGTTTCCTTTAGCAAATTCTGACTTATGTGTGTTTGAGATACTCTATAAGTATTGTTAAATGAGTGTGACCGAGCAATTTTTTGCTACTTTGTAAATACCGAATGTGCGTACTAATTCTGGTCACTTAATCACTGTCATTTATCCTCTTTGATACGGTAGATGTTCGCTGCGTAGTGTTATCTGACGGCCGAGAGTAACGAGAGAACTTATCGCTGCGCTGGAATCGCGAAAGAACTTGCTGTTACGCGAGTACTTTTGTATAAAACGTGTTTTCTGATGAAGTATTATTGATTTGTATAAAATTTTCTATTTGTTGCATTTGGTGGCTGTCGATTATATAGTCGACGCTCGTACCGAAGAGTTAAAATCTATTCTGTAAGAATTATTCAGTAAAACTAATATTTAAAAATACGCAAAGATAACTTTTTTACGTTCTTTTTTTATTTAAAATCTTTTCAAAGATTGGAAATTTGTATTTTAAAAGTGTAGAAATTATTTAGTGAAACGGATATTTTAAAATATTCACTCAAAAATATTGTTTTTTTTTAAATCCGTTTAAAAAACTAAAAACTAAAAACGTCATATTCATAAAATTTTTAAATCATTTTATGAGATTGATATAGATTGATAGATACGATGAAAAGAGCTATACAATAATATTATTACTCTTTTTTTTTATTTTAAAATCTTTTCAAAAAACTGGAAATCGCATTCACCAAAATAATTTAGGACTTATTCAGCGAGACTGATATATTTAAGAATGTGCAAAAATATTTTCACTTTATTTAAAACTTTTTGTTTTGTTCAAGAATTATTTTGGAGCGCTATACATCCGTGAAATTCTTTCTTAGACAATAATTGCATAGAAAGAAGAACGCAGATCTGAAAAGGTTAACGAGGCAGCGATACGGTTCCGCGCTGTTTCGTGATGCTTATCTCGCTACATTCGGAATTAATTCGCGTCAGAGCGTATTCGCGTGCGGGATGTGTTTGCCGCGTTGTTTTACACCGGCAACGACAAGCCATCGCGAACGGAAACTCGCCAGAAACTTCCGTCACTTCCCACACCCGTTCGTATCCCGCCTGTTCGAAGCCCCTCTCGCGCACCCTCCTTCCCCATACCCGCGCCGTAAGCTTGATACCACAAACTAGTAAACCTGTGCACTGATCAAAGGGAAAATTAATTCGCTTGAAATACACCGGTTTCACCGCGAACCAACCAGCCGATGCGCAAGACGGAAAATTAATTTAGCTTTGTTGCAGGGTATCGCTCTTCTCCGATTTCCTCTCTCTTTCTCTCTCTCTCTCTCTCTCTCTCTCTCTCTCTCTCTCTCTCGCACGCGCGCTTATCTTATCTCTCTCTTTTTACTTCTTTCGCCTCGAGATCCAGGTGGGATCACGAAAGACAACGATTCAGTACTAGCTGTATTTTTATTCAGCAAGCAACGCAAGTACATCTCTATCGTGTACTTGGCGTAAACGCGTGAAATAAATCTATTTCGATGAATTCCTCGAACTATCATTCAAGCCCGGCGAAGCGAATACTCCAACTGAGAATCGGCGAATGCTAAGTGAATATATCTACTTTCTATCGCGAGTCCTCCGAAGAAATTTGTTTTGGATTTACTGGCGAAATCGATTTGTCTTGTTCGTTGATTATGTAAACGGTGCTTTCTCGACCGTGAATAAACCGCCTGAGGAAGCGAGCGAGAGCGAGAGGAGAGAGAGAGAGAGGGAGAGAAATCATCTCACGATCGTGGTGCGCGCACCACCAGAGCCTCGCGGCGCGGGCCGACCCGGTAATTATGTACGAAATTCATTAGCCCGTGTAAATATAGAGCGAGCCGGCGGCCGAGTGTATATATCCGCGTACCGTAGGTACACAGCCGCGCGGCGTCGCGCATTGTGCGCGCGCGCGCGCGCGCGCTGCGCTGATCGGCGACGGCCACGCATTCATGTAGGCGATCTAAACCTACCTACCCGCATCCATGTTGAACGCGAATCTCGTGAAGTATAAACTTCAACAATGCCACAAAAGCATCCCAATTAGTTGCAAAAGACAATTTCGTGATCCTTGAGTCTCGGTGAAATCCGTCGAGAGATACGCCGCTCGCGTATTTCAATGAAAATTGAGAGTTTGTATAATGTGGAACTGAATTCTTTTTGAATTTGTGCAGCGTTATTGAATTCTCCCAATCAAATATTTCTCAATATTTTTCGCTTTACAGCTTAACTGTTCTTTTGACCCCGGTTCGATTTTATAGACTGTATGTATGCGAGATTTTCTAATATTTCTTATTAAATTGATTGAAATTAATTGTGCTTTTTTTCTCAGTTTTCATCAATTTTGCGCAGTTTGCTACGCTCTATTAAAAAAAATAATAATAGCTATAAATCTCTCAATTTTACCAAAGTTTAATGCGTATGAAATTGATGGAAAGTTCTTAAAGAGCAGTCAAGTTGTGAAACAAACACGAATTACCGTGATTACTGTATTTGCTTATGTTCTAAGCTTAAGCGTAATTTACTCATCTCTTCGGACAAATTATGAGGAATTTCACGATTTCTTGCGCAGTCGCTCGACGGGCAGAATGTCTACAATTCCTGCTGCACGCTGCGCATAGACTACAGCAAGATGCAGAATCTCAATGTCAAGTATAACAACGACAAGTCCCGGGATTACACCAATCCGAATCTTCCGACCGGTGATGCGAATCTGGACGCGGCGTCGCTCGCCCTCGGCGGTGAGTTGCTGCCCCAATTGCTGATGGGCGCCGGCTCCCAGCCGCGTGCCAGAATACCTGGTGAGTATTGCATAAAATTCTCCGTCCCGCGTTTGTTTTCACCTTCCGTCACATTTGACCTATCGAATAAATCGCATTATTTACGAGTATACGTTACGAGCATAGGCATACACGCGGTTGAATGCGTTAATCTTGCGCGATCCTATGTACATAATAATATTTGGTAACAATTGAGCGCGATATATGAGTATTGTTTCGCGATCAGCGCTTGCAAAATTCATCGCCATTAAGCGCCAGTCAGACCCGGCGAAATTTAGGACACAGCCCGCTCTGAATGGGTCATACGCGACGTATGAACAATGAACACTCCTGCGCGATTTTCTATAATTGTGCACGATAATGGGGTTGAATGCAGCACGTCTCAATAGACTCTTTTCAATTCCATTGTTTCTTTACATCGACATTTACGAATATTTTCTGTCAGACGGTTTCTGTATTTTCGGCGAGCGACAAAACTCGCGGTGCTCTGTGAAAAATATAAGGTTTGATCGAATAATTAACGGCACGTTACATTTATTGGAATTAATTACATTAATAGCGATACCGATTTTCCGTCACTTGGACGTCGTGCTGAATTATTATTATTTCGCGAGGACGGTGAGAGCAATTTGCCGGGATTTCAAACTCCGTCCTGTCCATCGTGCGCGCGTGTGTGCCGGTCGGGCGTTATTATTTTCTCGGCTAAATTAATTACAAAGTAACCGCGCGCCGCGCCGAATCGTCTGGATTTTTGCGTTCGCGCCACGGCGACAACGCTAGTTTAAATTACACGCTCGGCCGGCACTTGTTTGGGTTAAATTAATTTCACGGCGTTGTTGTTGGTGTTTAATCTGTAACGGTGTAATCCACTTTACGTCCTATCTCGTTGCGCAAACAGTTAGTTGACTGACGATTAGGTGAGCCGCGTACCGTCACCTGCCGTACCGAAAAGCAACGGACTAATCGGACGTCAAGAAAATTATGTCAGACTTATCGCGCGGAAAGATCGAAAGACAAATCGCAACGTCGCGTGGCGAAGAATTCCTTGAAATCGTTTAGACTTTTACTTTTTACTTTTCATCGATGTGTTTCGACAATAATAATAACGTTATCTGAACTTCCTGAAGTAGAGTCCATTGCAGGGGCACCGGGTGTGCTTCCCACGCCATTCGCGGCCATGCACGGCCTTCCGTCGCCCCTGGCCGGTCCGTACAACGGCGTACCTCCGGCCGGAGGGCTCGCCGGCCTCGGCGGATTTCCTCTCGGCGCGGCCGGTCTGGGCGTGCGGGTGCAAGGAAGCGCGCAAGCGTCGGCCGTGTTGCTGGTCAGCAATCTCAACGAGGAGGTAAGTAACTGTAATACTTTAAAACCGCCATCCCCCGACGCGTTGCTCCCTCGACGCTAAGGACGAGAGGCCGTACGAAGAGACCTTCGGCAGGACGTTACACGAAGAAAAGATTGGACGGATTTCTAAAGTCCGCTTCTGTTTGATTGTGATATTTTTGTGATTGAAAATTTTTTAGCGGACCGTCAAGTTTCTTCGTGTATCTTGCCGTCTATCTGGAGGCGCACAGAATGCCGAAGGCATAAGTTGCAGGACGAGGCGGAAGTTCTGCTTCCGCCGAATGCTGGCGTTCGTTTAACTCTTCGTCTCGATAGAACTGATCTTCGGACGTTCGTGCATTCTCAAACGCAATAAATTTTTACTCTTCGCACATAGCGGAAGGCTGAAAGAAAAAAATGAGCGGACACAATATATCATTTTATTTATTCGCTTCAAACATTTCTGTATCTTTCGCGTATATAAGATTATCGCAGCCGCAATCGCGCTTCAACTTGATCGAGTCTCCGTCGTCGGCTTCTGACTGAGATGCAAACGCAAGACGATGAATACAATGTGAACCACCAGCGTAGCACGATACGTGTGCACTTTACGAGACGAAGCGTTAAATGGCGCACGCATACGATAAATGGGGGCGTCGTTCGAGTAGGTCGGAGTAGCACTGAGAGAAGTAGACCGCTGCCACATGCGAATAAGTGTGTCGTATGTGAATAATATATCTGTAGTATAGCATCTGTCGTGTCTGTATGCAGTGTGTGTGTGTGCAAAGCTCTCGCTCTCTCGCCATGTCTCGGCTGCGAGAATATGACCGCGCCTCGTCCGGCGCCGACACACGTATACGCGACCTACCCTCCTTTCTTCCCTTCTCTTCCTTCTCTCTCTCTCTCTCTTTCTCTCTCTCTCTCTCTCTCTCTCTCTCTCTCTCTCTCTCTCTCTCTCTCTCTCTCTCTCCGTTCTTCCCCTCTTCCTCTTTTCACTTTCTCTTCTCTATTCTCTTCTCGTTCCTCATACTCTTGAGAGCTCATACCCTCGTACTCGCCCAGACCTTGTAAGAGACCGCACGCTATTTCTCTCAGTGTGCGCGAACGACAAACCCTCCTCGCCCCGGTATATATACGCACGTGCATACACGTATAATTACATGGCCTAACGAGCGAGTTACAACGTAGTGCTACGTAGGCGAACCCCGCAGTCTCTCGATCCTTTGGCCCCGGTCTTTCCGCCGAGCCGAGCTTCCGCCGATCTCTTCGAGAACTGTAAACTCAGCGATCCTGTAGACGAAAAGTTCCCTAAAAATTCACTCGCAACGCAAAAATTTCTACCTTTCAACCTTTGATTATTCTGTCTGGAAAAATCAACGTGAAAATATCGTTGCTACATTGTTGTTGCATTTTGCTAGATTTTTAATTCATTGACGGAGGATAAAAGTCATATAATTTGCAAACGTATTAAAATTAGCATTTACGGTTGACAGATAGACAAATGTCGACGATTAAAGAGAAATGATGCATTTCGGGATTCAAAAGCAGAAGGACACGTTTAAAATATTAGACTCGGGATTTGTCTGGATTCTCTCCGAGATCGTCCTGCTTGGATAGGCGGAAAGATCGAGCGGCGATGCGTATGTGCCCTGTTTTGTCACGAGACTTTTGATTCTGCCCCTATTTGCCCCGCTCATTTTCGAAACACACATACAAATCACTCCAACGTCACCATCCTGCGCCCTAATTAATTCGTAGTGTCGTCGATTACGACATTACTTTCTGCGAGGCGACGTTTATCAAAATTCACTTCAATCCAATATTTTACATTTTACGCACTATTGATATCTCTATTCGTTTGAGTAATTCTGCATTGCTGAAAACACTTATTCGTTACTCTCGCAATCAGTTCTTGCAAACAAACTTACGCGTAACATTTAGTAGCAAGAACAACGAGCCTTATCAGGTAAGAAACGTCGGCAGGATGATAAATGTCGCCTCGGCAAGAAATTGTGTGTCGACGTCACACTTCGCAGCTACAACTTGCCACTCTTATACTATAACTATATGTACTACTATCGTTGCGTCGCGCACAAGCTTCGTAATCCGCCAATCTGTGTTCGATTCTCATTTCCAAATTTTACAGAACAAAGATACGCACTTCACTCTGTTGGACTTATCGAAAAAGTCAATTACATCGTGTTCAAAATATTATAAAAAATTGAAGTCGAGCTTTCCTGTATCGTATTACCGGTTCTATTTCGATTTTACGTAAAGTTGATTGCTCTTTCTCAACCACTCATCGAGCGAAAACGAATCTTGTACGCGCACCGACACTATACATTGAATCCTATTATACTCGCTGACTACTGACTGGACTCTGTCTGTTCTCTGTGTAGATGGTCACGCCTGACGCTCTCTTTACCCTGTTTGGTACGTCTCCACATTTATATTATTAATTATATTACATTATTAATTATTATATTTACACCCTCTCACGTTCTTACGCATACGCGCGCACACGCGATCACACGAATCCGAATGCGGACGCGCGACACGCTCGGATTAAACACGATTAAAAAGAAAAAAAAAAGAGAGAACTGGAAAATAAGCAAAGACAATATTATTCGGAGGAAAATTTCGTTTTTTTTTTCCGGCCACGCAAATATTCTTCGTGATACGAGTAAAGTACGCGTACGTGACACACACGAACATCGAATTTTTGCTCACACGATTGTCACGGCTGAACTTTACGCCATACCGAAAAGAGAAGTTTTCTTCCTTTTTCCTCGGTTTTATATTTTTATTTATTTTTATTTATTTTTCTTTTTTTTCTCTTTTCTTTTTGGCAACTCGCAAAACTCGATCATTTGTCATCCTTCCTCTCGTCATGTTTTATTCTCGTAAAACATCCGCCATAACATATTCTGATTTAACGTTTAATCCGTATTCTTCCGATATTTTCGTGATTTCAACTTATTTTATTACTACAAGCTATTCCATTCGCAATTCATGTTCACCGTCATTCGTCATCCGCCATCGTCATATCGCCATCCGGCCACTACCGAATACATTCTCTCACATTCTCTACTTCCAAGCATCTCTTCTAAATGATTTCATTAATATTTTATTAATATCAGTTCCACAAAACCTTAATATTACGTAAGCTTTTGCTTATTTTACGTAATTCCATAGGAATTCACTATTAACGAGGCGCGCGACTCGGCTGCTGGCGTGTTTCTTTTTCTGCGCGCGATTGTTACGCAGATTTTCGTGAATAATTACGGACGAGCGCAAGAGTCACGTATTACATTACAAAGCGCGGTTTAAAAAATATTTTAATTTCTATCCATCTCGTAGACATCCATTTTTTAACTTTTTGCCAGCGAGAATTTCATCCACTTAACTACATAGTAATGTCAAAAAAATGTAAAATTTAATTCAGTTTTATGTAAAAAAGTAGGTAACATGCTGTTGTTGTTGCGTCAATTTTAATATTAACTTTTAATAATTATTAAGGTATCAAAAATTTACCTCTTTTTTTCATCAAATTATTAACAAAAAGAAATCGAATTGAAATTTACTGAATTTGCACGAATTGAAAGAAAAATGAACTTTTGATCCATCTTGTAATTTGAAAATTAAAAGTAGAAATATTGATAAAGCTTAATCTATTAAGCAACGTACTTTTTACTCTCTAAAGATAAATTTTCTCTAGCCGAATCGTTCGTCCTCTTGCATGTTCCAAATCTTAGATCCGATCGTACCCCGATCTCGATCGACCGAATATTGTCCCGTTCATCTTCAATAATCCTTAGATGCAGCCTCTATAAAAAGAATATTGCGGATTTTCGCGATCACACGAGTTTACTAAAAAGAAATTTGCGTATTGTGCATATAGGCGTTTATGGGGATGTACAGCGTGTGAAGATCCTCTACAACAAAAAGGACTCGGCACTAATACAGATGGCCGAACCTCATCAAGCGCTCTTAGGTGAGTGCACTTTACGAAATGTGACATTCGAGACGACTCAAAATTATTTTGTCTCATAAATCGTTTGTTAAACATATTTCGAGAAGAATTGCTTTTTAAAACTGGCATTAAAAAGAAAAATTTTTTTGGTATTTCTAAAATTCAAACATTTAATTTTATATTACGCATAATTACAACGTAGTTATATTACATACAGATGCACCGATGATTAATATCGTTTGTTTAATTTAATGCGACAGCGCTGACTCATATGGACAAGTTGAGAGTATTTGGAAAGCAGATCAAAGTAATGCTCAGTAAACATCAAACGGTCCAATTGCCAAAGGAGGGACAACCAGACGCGGGTCTTACAAAGGATTACACTAACAGCACTCTTCATCGATTCAAGAAACCCGGCTCGAAAAATTATCAAAACATCTATCCGCCGAGCGCGACCCTGCATTTATCAAACATTCCGTAAGCAATTTAGAACTAATAGCGAGCCTCGTGTTCTCGGCACATTTTTCTCCCGGCAATTTAGCGACATTCAATTTACCTTTTCAGAGCTACGGTAGCTGAAGAGGAGATCAAGGAAGCTTTTACCAAGAACGGCTTCACCGTGAAAGCCTTCAAGTTCTTCCCGAAGGACAGGAAGATGGCTCTCATACAGATGCCTAACATGGACGATGCCGTGGCTGCGCTGATCGTAAGTAGCTTTCGCAATTAACTCGTTACTCCCATGATAATCCTAATTTCTTTTGACGAGAAATAAAAACTCGTATCAGCGAGGTCACTTATGAAAAAGAACGCGTGCAGTCGAGTCTCCCTTGATGCCATTTATTTTCAATGGTTGCCGGAGAGTGAAAGCGAGAGAAAAGCTCTTTACTCGAAATCTAATAATATTGAAATGAAAAACCTGACAAACATTGTGAATAGTAATTCCAATTGTTTAACAATAAGCTCTAAAGCCGACTGTTCTGTGTTCTTTGCAGAAAATGCACAACTACCAGCTCAGCGAGTCCAACCACCTCAGAGTGTCATTCTCCAAGAGTAACATCTAACAAGAATCACCACTCCACGAGCAGCAGTGGTACCAGCCCTATGCCCTAGTTCCCCTTTGGTCACCCGTTTCGGTCTACGACTGATGGTCCCGCAGTTGAAACCCGCTCAGGTGCTCGTGTCCATTCCTACGAGGGTCGCGACGCTGTTGTTGCCGACTGCACTGCATACGAGACCTATTTACGGAACTGCATCGCGCATTTGTACTCCGGAGTAACACAGGCAACAAGTGGACGGGCGTTAACCTTGTCCAAACGAGCTTAGAATGCTTTCGACCCTGTCCTTGGTGCTGGGACGTCTTTACGGCGTGAATATTTCCGCATCCGGTTGATCCTGTCGACTCGAGGGTTGCTAGGGTGTTTTGTGATGTACCAGGGCTGCGAGTAGAACCAGCAGCAGATGAATTCGCGACGGCCTTCTGGAAAGTAGTTTCCGGTGCTGGCTTTCGAATATAGTTTTAACGTGACAATTTCGAGATTTTATAATCTTGGAAACAGAAATGAATGATAATGTGCCCGTTTAAAATTGTTCATGGCGCAGATTGTGGAAAGGGAAAGAGAAAAATTAGGATTTGATCGATCACTTGTGAAAGCCAGGATCGTTGCGTCAAAAGAGACATAGAGATATAAAAAAAAAGAGAGAGAGAGAGAGAAAGAGAGAGAAGCAGATGACACGAAGAGCCTAGCATCTGTAGGCATGCAGCACATGGTATGAGGAATTAAGATTGAATAGGAGCGAGTTAACGTTAGAGAAGCTAACATACGTTATTATACATAAAAAATTCACGATCGCGCGGTCCGGACCGCTACACTGATTACGATTAAGGATTTTTCAAAGTTGCGTGGATACTAGAGTGACCATTTCGCGATAAAACGCGCACGACGGCGTTCGTATATCGGTTCGAAGGCAGATCTCCGCGTCATCGGTGTTTGTTCGACGAGCGGACAATGATTGCGAAAGAGAGGAGAGGAAGCCAGACCCGAGAAAATCGGCGAGGCTTCTGCCCGATGATCGTCGTACTCGTCGTACGATCACGCGCGCGACGCGGCGGCCGACAACCCACAGCAGCGTTTTTCCGCGAGACAATCTTCATTCTACTGACGACCAAACAAACGCGCGATCGAACGTACTTTTTCGTGGCTTCCGTTCCGTTCAAGGGCGAGACAATATGATCGATAATGTTTTGAGGATCGAGTACGACGGGAACGGGCGTATGTTAATGATCGAGCGTCTTAAGTAAGAAAACCGCCAATGTCACGGGACCCTTGCAGGCTTAAGGTACTACTAATTCCGCCGACGAACCGATCGATTTTGCATTGATGATAAAGCAAGATGAAAAACGAAGGAAAAAAGAAAAAAAAAAAAAAGAGTTGAAGCGATTGCATCATCCGTCTTCAAAATTCTTCCGGACTCGTTTTTTGTGAGTGACGTTTTTCACAGTAGGTCGATCCGTTCGTAAGGCGGAAGCAAAGCAATTATCAAAGTCGTTGCGTTCTGAGAGCTACTTTATTAGACGGACTCCGCACCGAACGTATCCGACCCGCTCGACTTACGTTTACGCTTCTTCGAGGGCGGGTCTCTCGCTCTCGGGGACACTTCCAGTATTCTCGACTGTCCGGCGAAGTCGAACGCTTCTTTAAAAAGGGGTCGAGCTGGGCCTGATCGTTCGGCTGAGACGAGTTCGCCGCTCTGAGGCCCGCGCGGCGCGACTGCGCGCATCGTCGTACGGTCGTCGACCTCGAGTGTGCATTTTTATAATTTGTACGTTTTAGTTTGTGGACTATATCGCATAAGTATTATCGCACCCGCACACGTATACGCGTCTTTGCGAGACCGTATGGTTATGCAGTTACATACACACACATACACACAACACATACACACACACACACACACATAATACACACGCAGATACGATACATACATCATCACGTACGCGCCGCGCACGAGATAAATGTTATCGACCGCCCTCTGATTTATATACACACATATACACACACGTACAAGTGAATACGCAAGATTTCTTAGTAGAATAGATGCTTAGGCATGTGTTAGGATCTTAATCGTATAGTAAGCGACTAGATAAGTAATTGACTAGGAGAGGAAGGAGTGAGAATCGTTGAACATATCGCTAATTAAAAAGTTTGCAACCGTGCGGAGCGCGTGCGCGCGAGAAGTTTCTATCATTTGCAGCGAATCGGCGGGTACTACTCGAAATGCCTCGAGGACGATTCACGTCAATGGATGATATCTACGCGAACGGAGAAAGATATCCTCTCCCTCTCTAAGCCAAAAATAGATCCATCGCGACCCACAATCTGCCCCGCCGAGAGTTCCTGTTATTCAAAGCATTCCTTCGATAATCGACTTCGGTTGTGAGAGGGTGCCCCGTAAAAAATAAGAGAGTATTTCAAGCAAGTGCCGAAAGATAATTAGCGTCCGAAGAGAGATGAATTTATTTGCAATCTTTGAATTCTAATTATCTGAGGAAAGGACGGAAAGCGTCAGATTCGAATCGAGTGAGAACGAAAAAAATTTTATAGCGACATGCAAGATTATTTATAAATTGATCGGATCAGTTCTTGAGGAGCTTGAGGTGTTCTCGCCGAGAAGTCGCGCGAAGCAGAAGATGCCGTTAGACGAAGGCGAGGATTCTCGGTGTCGCTTTTATCAGAAGATGAAAATTGTCCACAATTATAATAACGTACCGCGCGCGCCCCGGCGAAACCCGTAGCTTTTTGTCTGATCGATGTTCTGTTGAAGTCAATTAAATTTTACTGATATAACATAACTGATTGTAGGGAGAAGTAGGGAGAGGAAGGCAGAGGCGCGTGTTAGAAAGAGCTTGTACAATGGCGTAACTGAGTGAGCGAGCGAGCGAGAGAAAAAAATTGCGCGAGTGCGAGAGAGAGAGAGAGAGAGAGAGAGAGAGAGAGAA